TGTATGTATGTATGTATGTATGTATGTATGTGTGTATGTATGTATGTATGTATGCATGTATGTATGTATGTATATATGTATGTATGTATATATGTATGTATGCATGCATGTGTGCTTGCGTTCCTATATTTTGATTTCCAGGTCTATAAGAGCTATAAAGTTGAAATTTCGGCAATCTAGCCTAACTCTACGGATAAGTCACTATACGTAAAATGACCGTCCTTTTAGTCCTTGTGTGCAATCACTTAAAAGAAATTGCTGATGTAAAGCGATTTCGCGAACCAATGCAGCCAGAAAATTAGAATTTTTGTGAAGATAGTTTCCATCCATGGGTGATTCAGTTCAAATTTAGCCTTCAAGTACGACTGTGTTTAGCATTCAGATATGTGGAAATTTGACGCTGACAATTTTTTGAGTTCGAAAATAAAATAACTAGAGGGCTGAAATGTGCACCCTGATCCATAATAATATGCAAGTAAGCATAAAAATCAACTTTCATTTCAACTAGGCCAGCTGAAGTGAAATTTTGTGAGCAAAATCTGATGCTGCGAAGCCAAGTATATGTAAAATCACTTTCAGATAGCTGAAATATACCTAAAAAATCCTAAATGTCATACCTGAACACATGGAAACCGATGAAGACAATTTTGTAACTGATTATACAAAAAACAGACCCTCTTGCCCGTGCCACATATTAAACGGGACCAAAGGGCAAGCCCTAGAATGGATAACTTCCGTGAAAAAATATGAAAAGTACGCGTTCATTTAACTCAATATTTATGAGATTGGGCTTTAGTTTAGCACAGCAAAATGTCCAACTCCTAAAACTAGCTGTCTACAAATGCATGATAAATTATGGGCTATTTGCCAACCTAAGGACGAAGAAAGAGACAAAGATGGCTGACCCGCCTGACTGCTGCTTCAGACACACTCGAGAAACTTGACGTCTTCAGAATTCATAAAATTACCTTCATTTTTGGCCGATTCCAGAACGCAGTAGTTTTGATTTTCCAGGCTAATCACGAAACCGTTCATGCAAGCACAGGTGTAAGGGCGGCCTTTCAGCAGAAGTCTTGCATCTTTGCTTGCGCCTAAAAAAATTGCTGTTTAAAAAAAAACTACGATTCAGACATATTTATGAAAAGCAAGAAGCATTATGGCTGAGGTGAAAAACATACAGACCTATGTGAGCTCTTGGAAGGCACATGTGTTCACATTCATGATTGGCACATTTATTTGGATGATCGGGTTGAGCCAGTTCGTGATATACCCTCACCGTCATAGGACCCGAAACGCCATTCATAACCTAAATAACCGCCAATCAGTGCGTATCATAGCACTTGTACACAAAATAGAAGCAAAGTATTACAACAAGAAAATGGATGCAAAGCAAAAAAGCATAAGAGAGAGTCTACGAGCGATTTTTCTGTGTAAAATGACTTGGAAAAAAGCAGGAATGGACTGCAAGGATAAGTTACTGAACTGTTTTGAAATCACTGCCGGTAAATTTGTTGGCCGTGAGAACTCCTTCCTGATCCCAGTCGGTCCAGTAAAGCCGTTCCTCGAAGACAGTCAATGAGAAGGGATGCTTGACACGTTCATGCGAACGCAGTACCAGCCGGATATGCTGACCCCAGTAGTCGCACGACATGATCAACTTCACTTTAGCATCCGCCCAGTATACCCTTTGCTCCAGAATGTCCAGCGCTAGTCCATTCGGCCATTTGATCATTTCACCCGAAATAATCGTCTGAAAAGTCAACAAGTGCAATTTGTTAAAAGATTTTTTTTTAAGGTGATGGAGTGGGGAAGACACGTGCGCACTTCACAGCAACATCAAAGCTGTAGTTCAACTGCTCAATTCTTGAACACATATTGTCGAGAAGTTATCTACATACGTTTGTGTGTGTCTATGTCTGTGCACGTGTCTGTGTCTATGTATATGTCTGCGTGTGCGCCTGTACCGAATTTTCATTTCGAGGCCTACAAAAGATACAAGGCTTTGGGAACTGAATTCACGCGCCTTGCAGAACAAGGAGCGGAATCCATGCTCTCGAGATGTAATTCTTCAATAAACGCAATGGCTACGTTGAGAGACCTCATGCCCTGGATTAGATCGAATTGCTGGGCTCTTCCCAATCTCGACATTAAACGACAAATGCCATTAAGGACAGCAAAGAGAAGTGAACAATAATTAAGAAGTGCTAAAAGCCGTGAACAGTGATCTGAGAAATACATACCCCCTCCCCCCTTCCCCTTCCCCTCCCCTCCTTGCCCTCTCTCTCGCCCCTCCTACCAAAGCCGACTGAGGACAATGCAACAAGATCTGCACAGACAGTTTCAAACTTCAATAAGAACATAATATTCAAAAAACACTTAAAAAGCAGCCATCCAAATTTTGAAATTGCCTACCGTTCGATTGTTGCCATCCATTCCAGCTCGTTCAATGCGTGCACTAGCACCCCAGTCTGTCCAGAAAATCAGCCCCCTCAGTGGATCCACAGCAATGGCTCGTGGCTCATCCAAACCTTCAGCAAACAGTGTCCGACGCTTACGCGTTACAAGATCCACCACATTGATCTGCAACACAATGCTATTATCAACCTTCGCAAAGCAAATAATTGGCCAACGCACGGGCTGCCAGTGCGAAGATGCGTTTTTTGCACAGCTCCTCCAAGATTTTTGTCGCTACCGGCACTGGATTTTCCGGCAGATGTTCCTGGCTAAAAGAATTTCAGACTGGCCGCCAGGACTGTCACGAAACATTCCTTCAAATTCCAATCTTCTAACTTCTCAGGTTCCCGAGTTAGCAACTTACACCAAAAAAACTTTCACGGGTCCGTACGTATGTACCACGATTACCCGCAGGCTGGGTTTGAGCTCATTAATACCCACTTGGACGGGGAGCACCCCTTTAAAATTTCAGCCTTCTAGATTCCCAGATTCCCGAGTTAACTTACCTGAAAAAAATTTTGGCGGGCCCTTGCGTGGGTACCACGTTTACCCGGGGGTGGGTTTGAGCAAATTAATACCTACTTGGACAGCGAACATCCCCCGAAGACTTCAGCTTTCTAGCTTTTCAGGTCTCCGAGTTATCAAATCACCCGAAAAAAATTTTGGCGGGACCGTACTTAGGTACCACACACACTCGAGGACTGGGTTTGAGCGCGATGAGACTTATACGGAAGGGGAGCATTCTTTTAAAATTTCAGCTTGCTAGCTTATCTCGTTTGTGAGTTAGCGACTTATCCGTAAAAAACTTCCAAGGGCCCATACGATGGGGGCCGATACATGCACATAGATTAAATTCCCAATGTTTCAGCCCTGTAGCTTTCGTAGGTCTCGAGATGAAAAATAGGTACAGACGAACACACACACACACACACACAATCCCTTGTCAATATGCGTTTTCTGCATTGCATAGCTGCAAAAAACGCGTAAAAAACAATTCCAACAAATTCAGTCCTAGCTCAGTCGAACAATCTAACTCAGCTCAATTACTTCTCAAAATTACTTAGTGGAAAATTATGCATATCGCTCCGGATAATTCTGCACCAGAACTTTACTGTGGTTGGAAACTTTTATAGCGCCCCTCTGCGAGCAGCAATAAATGTTATGGTGAGAAGTACAGACTGTCAGTAAGCACCATACGAGCGATGAAGCAGATGTGATACAGCTACCATTTCTGCCTGGAGGAATCAAAGTGGAATATGGAAATGAAAGCCAGAATCACTACTAAATACAATTATACTATCGCATGATACCAAATAATGATTTGTAATTTTTTGTTAGAAACGACGTAAGAAACAATTGCATCACCATGATGCAATATCCCGTCCCCGGTTCAACTTTTGGACACCCTACCCCTGCTAAAGTTTTGCAATTTCAGTAATCTCTGTTCTCTGGAAGTATAAAAGCACTCCTCCCATCTCCGGGATCCTGAACTAATCCACAGCTATTTCCAGCTACTCGAGAAAACTACTCCTTTCAACTTATCTCTGTCCTGGGGAGCTTCGGCTCCCCAGAACCTCACCACCCTTTTTGTATTGTCTTATTTTACGTTGTTAGTTAAAGCATGTAATTGTAAAAATATATACATGTATATATTGTAAATATTATTTATATGTTAAATCCGTTTCTTCAACAACAAACCTATTTATCAAATTCTCCTTTGTTCCCCTTTTTCTTTTTTTCCCATCCATACCGTAACCCAACCCTATACCCCCCACGGCATTTTCATAAATACAAAAGCCAAAGCTGACATGTACTTTTGTAAAATGATTAATGTGTTTTTGTATCCAGCGATTACAGCTGGATACGAAGGGGTGAACATGGCAGGGCACCTTCTTTTAGGGGCAGGACCAATCTCCCTAAATAACCCCTGCTTTTCTTCATTCTGGGTCTTTCACAGGGTTCATCTTACATTCGTCTGGGACTTCGATTCGGAACTCTCTCCAGTACACCCGACTCGACAACCAGAACTTGCTACAAAACGACTGTCTCTTTGAACGGCCCCGGGTCGTCTAAACGCAGTTCGGCTCCGACCAGTTCTACCGGTCCCCAATCAGGTCTTTTTAATTGTATCGTTGTTTAACTTACTTATTTTCCTAGCCAAGTTAAGATAAATTCAATATTATAAAAATCATGCTTCGCGCTTCATCTTGGCTAGTCACAACGACTCCGTAACACCTCACAACTTATCAAAAACATTTACTATATATATAACCAGGTGTTTTCCACACATACACACACATACACAAACTCACATATAGGGCACGCCACAAGTCTAGTGCATTAGTTTTCTAGAGTCGCGAAAATATAAACTTGAAAAAGTCTTAATATAAACCCGCTAATCCTCAGCTGAAATGCGCACTACAATATACAACTACTTAAGAAATAAAGGAATAAAGACCCCTTTAATCTATTAAGACAATTTCAATTTCAGTTCACCTGGTCCAGCCCCGTATCGGTCCAGAACAACAGCTGATGCACCCAATCAACAGCCAAGCCATCCGGTGTTGAGACATCCTTATCAACAAGCGTTATGTTATGCTCGCCTTCAGCGCAACCACGGACATCTTGCAACGACTTAAGGCCTTTGCCCAGGTGGCAGATCATTATCTTCTCCTGCGAAACGTCCGACCATATCAGCGTATCGTTCCTTCAAAAATTTTGGTAGAACTTCCATGATTCACCAATTCACTTTACTACTACTATCTCATTTACCTTCCAATAAGCATAAAACATCTGAATGCAAACAAAAAAAAAGTTTATATTTTTGATGCATTTGGAGAACCGCTGCTTAGGTAATTACATGAAACGAATAAAGAGACCTGTGTAAGAAATCCATCGCAACAGCGGAATCGAGCTTAGCGACAAGCGGCTCGTATTTATTTGTGACAAGATCAAATCGACGAATGGCCGCCCGATTGGAAAGCAGAAGCAAAGGATCACTGCCTTTCGCGCGACATATTCCCATATTCTTGGAACCTGTGCTGCTGTAACTGCTAGATGCCCTGAATACTGACAGAATTGTATGAAGATGAATTACAGTGAAAAACATTTACT